CTTTTGCCTTGCGTCAATTTGGCCAAGAAATATTTATTGAATAAGAAGCTCAGTAAGGCTCAAGCACTGTTTCACTATTATGAGATATCAAATTATCCCTAACCTTTGCTCCAGCCAGAGCTGTACACGGTCCTGGGATTTATTTGTGTTGTTGCAGTAGATGAAGGGAGGAGCCCAGGAATGTTGGAGCATGGCAGCTGTGGAGGGAGCAGGGTGACTTTCCCCCTGCCATTGGGACTCACAGATGGGGGAAGGCACTGCCAAAAGTGGTTTTGAAACTCACAGCAAATTCCCTGCAACATCATCCAAATTAGGATTACACCTCCAGGATTTCAGGCCAGTCCTACAAGCCTCCAAAACCACTCTCCACTTCCAAACTAAAAGTTGACTCTTCTGTGCCCTGGGAAAACCACCCCCAAGGAGGGTGTTGTTCACAGCATCTGCTCCTCTGTCAAAACACATCCTCTGACACCCCTCAGGCTCTTCAGAGAAACCCTCATCCCTTCCCCAGCATAGATGACGATGGCATCCCTGTTGCTGGAGCAAAAATAGCTCACAGTTTTCAGCTCCACTGAAGTCAACCTGCTGCAGGAGACAAGTTGAGGGGAAAAAAAAAAAAAGTTTAAAAAAAATAAAAGTCTGGGCTTCTGTTTAGGGAGCAAATGGTTAAGCCTTTCCTTTTGCAGATGGCACATTTCAATCTGCTAGGCTGCTGCTCCCTGCCAAGCTCTGTGGGCACTTTGCCTCAGGTTCCCCGCAGGGTTGGAGCCCATGGGGCTACATGGAAGCATGCTTGAAACTGGACACTTAAACTACACCTGAATGTTTTTTCTGATGTAAAGCTTTTATCTGTTTGTATGTGAGGGAAAAAAAAATTAGAAGCAAGCAATAATTTCATTTAGATAGATATTTTTATTAAGAAAATTTTAAGTGCATACACATTTATGGGAGAAATTACAACAATATAAAAGTGTTTATTTTCAAAATATTATATGAAAGGAGTAGTTTCAAAATCATAATATAACTCCTCTATGAAAGCTGCCTTACAGGAACACAAATACAAAACCCTTTTCACATTATTTGGGAAGATATTCCTTTTTTACTTCCTAAAAATATAAAGTACAGTATTTACCACATTCTGACAACATGAGCTCTTACGGAGTGGAAGATGGGACGTTCATGCAGCCCTTTCATCATGATACATGTTTTCTTCTCTGTGGCCACCAGACTTTCATGTCTGCAGGCAAGGATTGTCTTAGTGTGATGTTGGTAAAGAAAAAAATTCAGGTTTTAGTTGATGAGTTGTCAGAAACCCCTGGTTACTGTACATCACATCACTCAAAACAAGTTGCCAGAGAAAAGAAGGACTCTCTAGATGCTAACAAAGGGGAAATATGAACAAAAACTTCTATAGGAACTGCATTTTCAACGAAATGTGTATATTTAACTTCGAACATAGCCTTCATTGCAAAATGAACAGTCACCTTTGCTCAAACACCTTTGTTAAAAACACATCAGAAAGTCATCCTTCATCCTTCCTCAGGCAGAATTCAGATAAGATATTAATACATACAAGTGTAAAGCTAGCATAAATACAAAATCGGTACAGCAATAAATACCATCTATTCTTACAAAAAAATCCCCAAACAACTCAACCTTAGGATTCAACAGCTGCACTTTGAAAAATACCACTTGATGATTTCACATTTATGGAAGCTGCTTTTTCAGCACCAGGTCAGTGTTATCTCTTTTCCCTCCTTCTCTTCATGAGTGGTCCCTACATCACTCCCATCTCCCCACGCTTCTTTTCCCTGATCGGTCTTTGGTCAACAGTTAAAGGCAAAAAGGAAAGTTAAGTGCTCACTCTCAGTGGGTTTCTGCTCGTGCTGCTTCTCGGCCTGCTCAGGCCGTTGTGTGCCCAGGAGGAACAGCGTGTGATGCACCGGGCAGCACAGGGAGCCTGGGGCAGCCGGGTGGATGATCTCTCTGGAGTGAAGGGCATGGCTGCTCTTCCCAATGCATCATGAAAATACCGTCAAGCAAAAAGCAAAGCTTCCCACTTAAGGTTGAATTTTGGTCTAAAGCAAGAGGAACCTTTTATCAGCCACCCCTGCGTTCATGCTGTGCTCAGCCTTGTGCAGACGAGGCAGGGACATGGTGCTGGCCCCTGAGAGCAGCCCCATGCCCTGAGTGGTTTCAGCTACTCGGGTAGTGAATCATCACTAGCCCAGGGGCCAGGTCACAGAGCCTCAAGAGTTGCCAGAGGCAGACAGCCCACAAGGCACCCAGACAACCACCACCTGGCCGTAAATGATCCCTACCCTTGCAGGGAGCCCCTTTCCTTCCTGCTGCTACTCATGCATTTCTCTCAGGAGCAAATGCCTTTATTTTAGCACAGTCTGCTCCTGAAACACTCACCCATTTGCCCTCAGAAGAGAAGGTCGACAGGTGACCCCCTTCCTGCAGGACCTCCGCTACCTGGCTACACTGTCCAGAACGGGGACCTCGGGATTTGGCCAGTGCTCCAGCACTGCCCATCTGAATGCTTTTGTCAAAGTAGTCTGTTTGCCCAGGCTGCAATGTGGGGCTGGCATGGGCCCAGAGACCTTTCCCTGCTCGTACTGACCCCAGACGCACTCCCTGTCAACGAGGACTGAAGCAGAGCACTGTCAAGGCTTGTACAGTTGCATCTACCTACCCCATCCTTTCACTGGAAGTAAAATCTTCGTGGCCCCTATCATCATTAGCAAGGTGCGCTACTGAATCAAAATCAGAGGATTATTTAATTCTCCATTTACTCCAATGGAAATTGAGCAGACCTCAAGCTGACCTTTGAGGTGAAGCACATGTGAAGAATGCATCTTTCTGGGTGAGAAGGACAAGCTTCAAGTTTGTATCAGAACTAAGGTTCTTCCACACTTTCCCCAAAGGCATTCTTGGCTTTGACACTCACATGTCCGCCTCTGGCAAACCACTAGCAATTGCAGGTGCACGTGTGGGGACAGGGAATGGACCCTAGGGATATAAAGTACAGTCCAGGGAAAAGACAAGAAACTCTAGTTTGCCCATAAAAGTTCCTTCTGTCTTTACCCTTACAACAGAGGATCTGAGCCTACTCACCTGATCAACACTCCAATTCTCATCAAGTTCAGTGGTATCAGACCTTCCAAAACAGAGACACAATGTACTTAAAGCACCAGGCTAGTAATGATAACAATAGAAGGAATGTCAAGATGACACACATGAATTTTAGGCACAGCAGCTGGTTTCTACTTTAAAGCAAATGAGGTGATGTGGTCCCAGATGAAGATAATAGCATTGTAATAGCATTGTTTCGCAGAGAGGAAAATACTTGCAAGGTTTTTACCTGAATCCACATGAAAATAAGGTAGTCCCTGGCTAGCCAAAGTGCCTCTTTGGCACTAAAGATGCCTGCCAGAAAAAGGAGTGCTTAGCAAAACACCCCTCAGTGGAAGATTCCTTTTGAAGTAACCCGCTCAAAAAAAAAAAACCAAACCAAAAAAACCAAACAATCTTACAACATGTTTTTTTACAAGACACACACAGTTACATACAAACACAAACATTGTGCTGCACAAATGTGCTTCCCCCTGGATCCCAGTGTGCAGCGTAACATGACTATCGCAGTACTGCAGGTGTCTTCCCATACACTGTATAGCAAAGGTACTGCATATACAGGTAGGAATCAGGAGAAAGAAGTTTCTGGCTGAGAGAGGGGACTGGTGCAAGAAGTGGTACCTGTCCCCAGGTCTATTTTGCGAAGGAAATTCCAGAGGCTATTCTGTTCACCAGCAAACAGGGCCATGACCGCTGGTGAGCAGTGACTGTTGGCCTTCATTTCCACACCCAAGAAACACCACTCCTTCCACAAACCAGGCAGACCCTCTCTTGCCCCAGGCATCTCTTTCTTCCAAAGTATGGCCAGACATCCTCTTCTAGGTATCTCTGGAGCAAAGATGTTACTGCCCTCAGGTATGTGTGACTGTTCCGTAGCCAAGGCTACAGCATCATTCATGAAGCGTCACATCACGTGAATCCACCTCTGCCTACTCCAGTGCAAAAGTAGCCGGGCGAGCTGAAGCCACCTCCTGAGGGTGGGTGGGAAGAGACTCCTGGTGCATGGCAGCATACCTGACTCCTCCAGCAACTTGCAACATGATCATGTGGTTAGACCATTAATAACCAATTCCTTTTTGTGCTAAAATTTGTCATCAGAAACACAGGAACATAGGAAATGCCAGGTGACATCAGGTTAGTGTTGTGGCTCCTAACATACACACCTATTACAAACCAAGTACTAGCACCTTGCAATACCAGATGTGCATTGACCCATCTGCTCATAGCTGTCACCAAAGTCTCTGATCTTCAGAGAAGGGCTTTACCCCTGTAGCCTTGAGTTTAATCTCTCACCCAAAATACCTGTATATGCCACCAATGGTAATGCTGTCCACTTTCACCAGTGTCTGATGCTTTTTAGCCTTCCTATGTTCATGGCCTCGATGACTTCTGGAGGCAAGGAGTTCCTCCACTACTTACACGACATCATTGCACTGTACAGTTCATGTCCTTCTAGGTTTAAAACTCCAGGAGACTTGCATGAACCAAGAAAGTTAAATAAAGCACAACCTCTACATAGCAAAGGAAATAAAATATTCTATAATAACATAGGGTTAGTTTAAATTCATATCTGCCCTCAGTGCTAGGTAATAAACCAGCCTGTATAAAAACATATTTTTCTCAAATAGTTACATCTTACTATATAAAAATAGCACTGTGAAAGCAAGCCAATCTGTGCAAAAAAAACCCCAAAACCCCAAACCAAACAACACCAAAAAAAAAAAAAAACCCCAAACAAAAAAACCCTTTGGAAATGGCATGAAGCGTTGCTTTTGTGCTGCATGATAACTGTGAAATGTATTCATTCCCTAATACTGGTTATCTGCTCTCTGGGTCCTACAGTAAGAAATCCTGTAGACGGCTTACAATGCTTGCCTCTTACATCTTGAACCTCCTGTTGATGAAGAACAGAGTGAAACACTATTAAGGTTTATTTCAGTTGCAAAAGCTTTGATATCAGGCCTAGTCAAACAGAAAATCTCTTTCTTGGCTAATCCAAAGGCATTTCTTTTGCAGTCCCTCCAACCAGTATTTACCAAACATTTGGGGGGAAGTTCTCCACAAGGAGCTACTGGGACCCAGCAATGGGAGTTATTTTGGACAGGTTGTGCTCACAGTTAGTAAGGTGTTCACAGCTAACATAGGAGGAAGGCTGGCTAGGAAGCTTATTCTGGACTTGAAAGCCAGAGCAGAGAATTATTGGTGGGCAAAGAGACTTGGCAAAAAAAAAAAACAACAACAAAAAAAACCAAAACCAAAACCAAAAAAAAACCAAAAACAAAAACAAAACAGCAGGGAAAGGAGGGATTAATCATTTGTGAGTAGCCCCCATAGTGGAGCAAGTGGCACTGGGAATGCCTTCTCTACAAGCCCTTAACTCACAGCCCTGCTGGAGGTCATGGAGTGCAGCCCCACAGGGTGCCAGGTTTCTGTGAGGATGGAGGAACACAGAGGACAGCCCATGCCCTGCTCTTGTTGGTGTTCAGCTCCCACCATGGGGTGGCTGGAGAACAGAGACCCTGGCGTGTGCTGCCCAACCAGGAGCCATCCCCATGGCCTCCCTGCTCTGGGACCTCACCTGCTGTGAGCAGCTGGGTGACACATCACATCTGCTGGTGACCAGCTGCCCAGTGAAGGTGGGGTGACAGGGAAGGCAAGCAGCCCCATGCTGCACAGTGAATGTGTGAGGCGTTAAGTGCAGAGGTAGGAGCTCAGGGCAGGAGGCAGACAAATCGAGCCTCCCGTGCTCAGTGTGAGCATGCTACCCAGGGGGAATGGTGGGTTGTGCGTCACAGCAAAGTGCCAGTGTATTGTGTGCAGGGTTCACTCAGAACAAGGAGCCACTCTGTGCTGGTGGCCTCCAGGTTTTGTCTGAAGTGACCCCTACTCCTGCTCCAGGCTGACTGGCCTTTTGCAATGTAGATGAGGTCACTAAGGCTGAGTTACAAGTGTCAGAGGGTAAACACCAGGTATTCAAAAACCCTGATGTCCCAGCATGTCTTGTCTAACCTACAGGATCAGAACAAACACCCCTTTCAATGCCTGCTGGACAACTAAGACTGTGTGACCACAGCCGGAGACAGTTGTGGCTACTCTCAGTGAAGGTAGTCTCAGAAAAGCCATCCAAGGCATAAAGCGGATGACTAAGCTGTGAGCAAAATTTTCCTCTTTGAGGACATATTTTCCAATATCCCACAACAATAACCCTATTTCTTTTGGTGCAGAAAGGCAGGACATACCACCCTGGAAGGCAAAAAATAAACTGGGACATCCAGAGCACTGGCATATGTAACACTGTCCTATGGGACTCGCCTAGCATCTCCCATAGGAGAAGTGTCAACCAGTCACCAATGCACCAGATCATGTTGTCACCACCCAGTGCTGCATATGTCATTAAAAAACACCCGTGACACATTCACAGCTGTTATTTATAGTTTAACTCTGTCAGTTTGGTATTGGAGGAATATGGCCAGCTAAAAGAAATAGGGCTTCCAAACCTTTACCCTGATTTTGACTTTGGCTTTGCTTTAGGGTTATTTTGGCCTCTTTGGGTTCTGTTTTCCCATCTGTAAAATGGAAAATTTTCCCACCTCTGTTGTGGCTGAACTTTCCCCCTGTTTTAAGAGTTCTATCTATATAATACTTCTTCACAGGGAAGGTACAGATGTTATCCTCAACAAATATGGGGAAAAAATGGAGGTCTGGATAGGCTAATATATTTTCCCAAGGTCACATAGGATGGTCTGTGGAAGAGCAGGGACTTGAACCTGAGGTATCCCAGCTCAGAAACTAATGCCTCCTACCATTTTTTCTCCCTGGAGACTTTAGTGGTGTTGCACGGGAAGGGCAGAGTGGGCCCCGTTTCTTCTGTTGCTTTTTTTTATGAGTGCGATGACGTGGTCTAAATTAAAAGAAAAATACAAAAAGACTGCCATAAATTATCCATATACAAAGGTCTCATTCACAGTTATCCTATGGGCCCTTCACATCTGCTGGTAGGGTGCAAATGATTATAATGTCCCCTTTCGTATACCCTCTGCCTCAGAGCAACACTAGGCAAATGAAAGTGCCCTGGTGACAGCACATTTGCAAATTCTGAGGCCAGAACACCTCCTTTCCCCCAAACACCAAAGCCTCCCCAAATGCTTGTCACAATTTGTCAGCCAGGAGCCTCACCATCCACACGTTACCCCCTGAAGTACAATGAAAGCAGAGGGGGCTGCATTTCTGGCTTCCCACCCAGCATTACCACTAACATCAACAAGAACCAGTGGCCACTCTACAGGATTTGTGGGCATTCAGTGCCTTAAAACAAGGCTGTGAAGATAGTCGCCTACATTGTCTCCTACTGTGTGGGGCATTCACCCAGCACACACTTGGGGGAGTGCTGGGAGGTAGTTGTATTGGCGTCTTGTACTTCAGCCCTTCTTTGCAAATGAGGTCAGAAGTTAGGAAGGCCTGCCACACTGGGGTTTACAAACACTATGTGGGAAGGCAGCAGCAGGGCTTGGCTCCCATCACAGCCAGCCCCTAGAAGTTGGGAGTTGCCTTTCCTTTCTCCCAGAGGGCTCAAGGGAAAAGTTTTTCCTATCTGACTTTTGTTATCTTCAGATCTATCAGACCTCTCATCTGTGCCAGCAGTAGCTGCGGAGTTTAATGGACTGCAGCATCTTGGACTGAGGGAAGTTCTGAGGTGGGACTATATTAATGGGACAGCAGACAAGCTGGTCTCTGTTTATTTCAGGCTCTGTTAACCCTGCAGCAGCCTGATTTTGCATATCCTCGCATGAAGGGAGAAGGGAAGGGCAGTCAATGTACTGTAAATGATGACAGGGATTGCCTGGAAGTGATAAAGGATTTGTTAGCTATTTCAAGAAAGGACTTATTTGCCCCTTGTCTATAAAATGGATGAATGTCGAATGATGTTGGCCACAGCAGCTGCACAATGATTTTTAAAGCCAGTTAAGGAATTTGGATTCCTGACAGCCTGAATGTATTTTACTGATGTCTTGTAAGTGTGTATATTACATGGAGATGTGATGAATATAAAGCAATAATAAAGGCTAAGCAGAATTAGTGAGCAAAATAATTCCCTACTAAAAACCATCTCTGGTTTCAAAATCAACTGTATTGGACTACTATATTGTATGAGCTTTTCCTTGTCCCTAGCTGCAGATTATAACACAGAAGATACTCTCCTATTGAAGCACCGGTATAGATTAAGATGTTTTAACAGCTTGGTGATTTCTTAAGCAATTACAAGAGCCCTTTCTACAAAAAGTATTGATTTTATTCCAGAAAAATAGATCCCCATGTACAATTGGGTTTTCATAACATGAAACAATTAGCCATTTTATTGCTAGTGCATATAGGGTAATGTCACATTTCATACAATTTCAGTACAAGTGAAAAAATATAATATATGGCTGATTGAAATTGATAGCTACATTAACATTTGTAGATCTATATAGATTTATTTTACAAGCTGTTAGTAGTTTTGAGGGATATCGGTGTTTTAAACTACCAACATTCATGTGGCTCCAATTCAAATATATGAATTGTTTGATGCGATATAAATATACTCCAAAGTACATTTCATTGAAGAAGTCAAAGCTGTGCACTAAAATATATCAAAAACATGCCTTGTGAAAATGCTATGGAAAGAGCCCTGACTGTCTGTGGAGCATGAAAATGCCACTGGTGCTAGCATTACTAGTTGTAATGAAAAAAAATGAAAACAATGCCATGATTACAGGATTAGGTGATGGAGATATATGCTTTCTGTGATCTTATTTCATAGAGCTGGGACCAAATTCTCTTCTGTTACTCAATGTAAACCAGGATGAAATCCACCAAATTAGCAGAATTGCTTCTGGATTAGCATTAAGTAAACAAAACCAGAATCTGGCTGGAGATCAGCCAGGGGCTCACTGGTTTCAGTAGAGCTGGCCCCTATCTTTACTAGTGGAAGTGAGAGCAGAATGTGTTCCAGCTATCTGACTTGTTGCCCTAAGTCGGGCAGGCAGGATCTGAGCACATAATCACATTTCCCCAACCCTACAAATTTCTTAAGTGCCTCCTAAATTTCAGGTCCTATGAACAGCACCAAGGGCTTCACTGGGGATGACAGCAAACAGAAACATAGGCAGGGACTCAAGGACTTTCTAAAGTTGAAAAACAAAGAAGCCCGAGCCCTTAGGATAGCTAGCATGGACCACATCCTGCTCTTAGGCTCAGTTGTGCCTAAATCCAAAGCCATCCTGGCAACATTAACCTGGATTACCTCTGCAAAGAATTTGCCCAAAGGACAAGAGGGATGAGTGCTGGCAGCAAAGAAGGCACTGAGCATCGGATGAGACGGGAAGAGATGTCAGGGCTGGAATCACAGTCAGTTTGTTAGCTGGCTTTCTTCCCTCCTCCTCCTCCTGACTCTTGGCCCCAGTGTGATCCTAAAAGGGCCACATGGAAGAATCTCTCTAATTCTGGTAGCATTTCCCCCCCTGCATTTTGTAAAAACACAGGGGAACAAAGACTTTTTTTGGCAGATGCATTTACAAAGCAAATAGTGGAGGGCATTCAGCTACCTGTACTGCCTCACATCTGCCCTGGGGCCATACTCTTCCCCACATTTCTCCAAGAATGCATTGCTTTTGCAAATGACTGGATTCCAGCCCTACCTTTACCCTACAGATGGGGGGTGGGG